GATTTCTCTTGTAAATAGTATGTAGGCATTTCCACACCTAACAATGCTAATATTGTTCAGCGCCATTAAAAAGAACTTGTGGTACCCCAAGGTGCAGCACCCTGGTTGAGAATCATTGAACCATACAAATAAAGAGAGGATAGGAAGGAGAGAGGGTGTTCAGTGGAAGCAACCTAAACAATTTTTGCAAATTTTAAATAGCCTTTGTTTTAGATTTTTATATTAGAAGGTAAAAAGAATTAGGGCTCAGTATGCAGCAGGAGACCAGCCTGCTTAAAGGGGATGGTTTACTTAATGAGTTAAAGCTTAAAAAAGAATCTTACAATAATGGGAACGTGGCATATTATTAGGGATGAACGGAAGAGTATAGCACAAGCATACAGGGAGGAAAATCAGGAAGGCTAGGGTCCCAGTGTAGTCTCAGCTAGCCAGGGACGTAAAAGGCAGCAAAAATATCTTTCTACAAATATGTTAGCAATAAGGAAGACCAAGGATGGTGTAGGCGCCTTACTGAATGGGGAGGGCAATCTCAAAGCTGAAGTATTTAATGTCTTTTTTTATATCAGTCTTCACAAATAAGGGGAGCTATCAGATGATGAGCATAGTTGGCAGCAAGAGTAAGTGAGAAGATAGGCAGCCTAGAGTTAGGGAAGATATCTGCCTTCTCTAACCTCTTCTTTCAAGGCAGAAGGGCCAGATTAACCTGAAGTCCTTCTGCAACAAGTTGACAGGCTTTGTGGATGGAGGGAGAGCAGTGGATATGATATACCTTGATTTTAGCAAGGTTTTTGGCAGTCTCCCACGACGTTTTTCATTAGAAATAGTCTAGATAAAATTACTGTAAGGTAGGTGGATATCTGGTAGGATTGTGCTCAGTAAGTAGTCAGCCATGGCTCAGTGTCTAATTGGGAAGAGGTATCAAGTGAGATTCTGCAGGAGTCTGTCTTGGGTCTAGTACTGATTTAATATCTTCACGAATGATTTGGAGGATATGATGGAGTGCTAGTTGTCACATTTGCAGATGACAGCAACTTGAGTGCAGCTGCAGATAGCTGAAGATGGGATTAGGATTCAGATTTAAATTGGAGAAATAGTCCAAAATTGATTAGATGAAGCTGAGTAAAGACCAAGTGCATATTTCGATACCTGAAAGAACAATTAAATGCATAAATTCAGACTGGGGGAATGACTGGCTAGGTTGCAGTACTGCAGAATAGGACCTGATAATTATAGTAGACTGCAAGCTGAATATTGGTTAACCAAAAAAAAAAGCCAATAGGATATTGGGCTTTTTTAAACAAGGATGTTTCTTGCAGGTCAAGGGAAGTGATTTTTTTTCTTGTACTGTATTGAGCACTGGTGAGGCGGATGTAGACAAATTAGGAAGTATCCAGTGGAGGGCAACCAAAATTGTTAGTGTCTTGGAAATGTATGAGAAAAGGTTGGAAGATTTGGGATGATGCAGTCTGTAGAAAAGAAGACTGAGGGGGGAATTAGATAATAGTCTTCAAATACAAAATGCGGAACATGATGGACTATGTCCTTTGGCGACAGGGGATAGCACAAGGAAAAACAATCTTAAATTGCAACGAGGGAAATTTAGGTTGGATGTTGGGAAGAATTTTCTTATTATGAGGGTGGTTAAGCATTGGACCAGACTGCTTTAAGAGGTGGTGGAATCTGTGTCATTCAACCTATTTAAGAGCAGGTTAGACAAATACTTTGATGAGATGATTTAGACAGCAGTTATCCAGCCTGAACAGGGGGGATTGGGTACTAGGTGACCTTCTGAGGTCCCTTCCAGTCCTATTTTTCTTTTGTTTTATGATTCAGAATTTAATGATCATAATTTGCTTGCCTCAAGAATATCTTAATTTTGTCTCTACTCTTATGAAAGAGTATTACCTTGTTTGTGTTTACCATGTGTGCCTGTTGCATTTAAAAATGGTTATCATATGCCTTGTAAACTAGGTCTTGCAATGCAAATGCACAAATGAAATGATTGGGTAAAATGAGATCTTTCATTCAATTTGATACTATCTATCTGTCATGGGATATCTTGTTGAAAATTGAAATTGGTTAGATTCTACTTTTTAAGGTATATGTTATAGGTATCAGTTGGTACATTCCTATTAATTTTGATGAAAATGAAGATATTGGAAAAGGTAAATCAGGTACCCAGAGAGAAATTTTTGTGCTGTAGACAGAGGAAATTCTCTGTCACCCTTTGCAGTCTACTGACAGCAGTTTACAAAGGGTTTGATCACTTAGTTGCATATATTGCCTGATCTGGACACCCATCAGGGCCCTTCACTTTTTTCTCCCAAGTCTGGTGCAGCTCCTTGCTAGTGAGGCTCCTTTAACTGTCAAATTCTAGCCAGGTTCATGATCTCAGTCTCTATCTACATTGGCAATGAAGTTTGCAACCTTGTAGTTCACTTTATTTGATTGTGTGCGTGCAAGCACACACCCCCTCCCTCCCTACCGTTAGTCTATCTGGGGTGAATGTTAGAGGATAAACAGTGACATTTAGCAAATCTGTACTTTTTTTTTTTTCCTGGCTGTGTGCTGTTCTTGATTTTCTTCCCCCCCCCCCCCCCCCTCCAAAAAAAAAAAAAA